GATCGCTATATATAAAATAAAAATAAATTATTTTTAGTTCAATTTACAATTATGTACATATGTAGTATAAATTTAGGATTTTTATTTTATTTTAATTTATTTTATATATATATATATATATATATATATATAGATACACACACACACACACATATATATATACTAAGTATATAAATATATATATGTATATGTTATAGCGTAAGTATATATAATTCGATATAACATTACCTAATATACTTATACTTAGTGATAGTATAGATAGTAATATATATTATTATATATAAAGCTATATTCGATATAATATTACCTACTACACTTATACTTAGTGCATTATATATAGCGTAAGTATATATATATATATATATTATATATATATATAAGCTTATATTCGATATAACATTACCTAATATACTTATACTTAGTGCATAGTATAGCGTAAGTATATATATTATATATATACATATATATATATATATATATATAAGCTATATCGATATAATATTACCTAATACACTTATACTTAGTGCATAGTATAGCGTAAGTATATATATTATATATATATTAGCTATATTCGATATAATATTACCGAATACACTTATACTTAGTGCATAGTATAGCGTAAGTATATATATTTATATATATATAAGCTACATCGATATAATATTACCTAATACACTTATACTTTAGTGCTAGTATAGCGTAAATATGTATATAATGTAAGTATATATATATATATAATATATATATATATATATATAAAAGCTACATTCGATATAATATTACCTAATACACTTATACTTAGTGCATAGTATAGCGTAAGTATATATATTATATATATATAAGCTACATTCGATATAACATTACCTAATACACTTATACTTAGTGCATAGTATAGCGTAAGTATATATTATATATATATATATATATATATATATATATATTCGATATAACATTACCTAATACACTTATATTTAGTGCATAGTATAGCGTAAGTATATATATTATATATATATATATAAGCTACATTCTATATAATATTACCTAATACACTTATAATTAGTGCATAGTATAGCGTAAGTATATATATTATATATATATAAGCTATATTCGATATAACATTACCTAATACACTTATACTTAGTGCATAGTATATATATATATATATATATATATATATATATATATATATATATATATATAGACACACACGCACGCTTCGTAGTACTATTCATCCCTTGTATTACAAAAGTGTTAACGGCTAACATTTATATTATTTATTTAGTAAATACAAAAGTGATTTTTACTTTTTGACCAATGGTGACCTAAATAGCGACCAACTTTGGTCGCTAAACATACATAAATTTAAATTAGCGACCCAAGTTGGACGCTAAATTTAAATCAGATTTATTTATCTTTCATATAATTTTTAAAATATTAACTGGGTCCCAGGTTAGCGACCACAGTTGGTCTATATTCTACTGAGCGACCAACATTGGTCGCTAAAGTTGAATTATATTTATTTATATTTTATAAATTTTTTTAAACAAAATTATAATTATTAAAATTTTATAACTGGGTCCCAAATTAGCGACCAAAGTTGGTCTCAATCTGTTTACTCTTTATATAACGACCAACTTTGGTCGCTAATTTTAAATTTTATTTATTTATATTTTATTATTTTTTTAAAATAATATTATAATTATTAAAATTTAATAGGTGGATCCCATGAAGCGACCAACGTTGGTCGCTAATCTGAGTAATTCTTTGACCGAGCAAGTCTGACCAGTCCGGTCAACAGTTTGACAAAATTTTCGACCAAGTTGCGACCAACGTTGGTCGCTAATTTATTTAAAATTATTATTTTATTATTTTCACCAGTTTAGCGACCAACTTTGGTCGCTTTTCTTGACAGACCAATTTTGGTCGCTAAAGTTTGGTCGCTTTTTGCAGGAATTCTAGTAGTGTTTCAACGGATAAATAAATAAATGCAATGAAAGAATAAATGAAGTCTAAAAGAATCAACCAAGTTCAAGAACTAGTTGGTCTTCTAAAAGAACACAAATTAAATGGTTTTTTAAAGTTAAGCAAGTGACTTGATGCTAATGGTATGCGCCGCATGAAGGGAATGACGATGACGGTTCATTCTCACATGTTATGTGGAATCAGCTCTATTTGTCTATTTTTCTGGATATAAAATTGTATCAAACGGAAGTAAAGGCCGCCATTCAATAGAGAACTAAGTGAAGAATTTTATGTGGAATAACTTGAAGTTTCATCCAAAGGTCCACGAACATACGATTTGTAGACTTTTGCAATCTTGTAATAGCCTCAAATAATCTTCAAGTCAAATTATATATGTTCCTTAGTGTGACCACTTTTAATGGCTCTACCACAAGTCATAAGGGATCATTATGTTTATAATAAAAATATCTGAGAGCAATTCTTTAGTTATGTCATTATATGTTAATCACATATTGATAGATGAAAAATAATTTGGAGTAAAGAACTTATTATCGTCTCACTTGGAGATGAAGATAAAGGTAAAGACGCATATACTCTTGAAATTATAAAGATTTTAAGAAAATATTTAAAGAAATTGTTCTTTAAATGATTCAAAATTTTGCAAAACTCCAATCGACAAAGACAATGCCATGTATACTAGGTTGTGTCTTAAGACTCCAAAAATAAGAGAAAAACAAATGCGTAGAGTGTCTTATGGCAGTATGGTTGGTAGTCTAATACAAGATACATTTGCTAGACTTAATATATGTTTCGCAATAGGCTTGTAAACAAATATGAAATCAATCTTGACCCAGCACATCATAAAGCAGTTATAAGAATAATGAGGTACCATAAAGGAATTTCTGATTATGCATTTTACAATAAGGGCATGACAACAACTGAAGGGATGTACTGATGCTAATTGTGGAGGATTTATGGATAAGATTAGGTCCACCTCCAAATATGAATTCTGGTTATAATGACGTCATGTCATAGAGCAGATGAAAAGTAGTCAGTCTGGCTTTATCCTTGATGGGAGCTGAGTTTGTGGCTCTCTTCTCAGTAGCGCATCAATTGTTTGGTTAAAAAAAGGGGCCTAGACCGTTTGTTGGTACATCAGTTAATACTAATCTAGCGACAGTCTTTGTGACAGTCAAGCTGATATTTTAAGCACCAAGGACCCTAGATAATTTTAAAGCCAAATATATTGATATTAAAGTCAATTTTATGAAAGACATGGTTGCACGCAAATAAATGAACATAAAGTGTATCTGCACAAATGGTTGCAGAACCATTGACTCAGTCGACTTCTAGAAATGCATATTTTTGTTCGTGCAAGATCTCAAGGACTGTGTGGGCCTATATAGTCATTGGTGTTTAATTTATTTTTTTCCGATGTTCACAAATGATTATTATTTTTTGAATATAAAAAGAAGTTTTATTTGCATAAACTTATTATTTGAATGTTTGTGTACATTCTTATTTTGAATGTTTATTGCACATTCATAAGTGGAATGCTTTTTCGTGTATTTTTTTTCATATTATTGAGGTGTGTCGGGTAAGTAGAGGTCAGTCTTCTCACACAGGTGACTGCCTCTATCAATTTGGTGTAGATGGGAGATAAGACGAGATTTTAAGCAATTTATCAAGCAGATTATTTGAGAGCACATGAATTAAAGATCTTTAGCGTCACACAAGTAATAATAAATGGTCATTTATAGTATTTTATTGGCAGAAATAAGTTTCTGCTAATCTACCTTAAGAGGCCAGATGTGAGTTAGTGGGGAAGGAAAAAAAAAAAAAAAAAAGCAGACCTGCGCCGCGGCTCGAACTAAACTAGGTAGACGACAGGTTTTTCTCAGAGCCGAATGATTAAGTGAAGTTGCAAGACGCAGCGAGCCAGAGAAGCAGTTTGACGAAGATAGGGATGCATCACTAGGCAATGTATAAGAAAATGTAGTAGGGTTTGCACGAAACCTTGTGGAGCTGAAAGTGAACCGATATTTGACTGTAACTTAAAGTAAGTGGAGAAATTAAAAACATAAAGCTGAGGAGAGACGAGAGAGTTTTTGAGTTGTCCAGTGACTAACTAAAATCGATCGAAAAAATGTAAAAGCACTCACCACTGTGGCGAATGCAGCCGCCATTGTTGGAAAATATCACGGGTTTTCGTCTGTGCGTTGCTTGAAAATGACTTGGAAAATTAGACACTCTATCGGCATTGCCATTAAGAAAGGTACAGTGAGGCAGGACAAAAATAGAATGGCGTCGCGAGACTGAACCGGACACTTACAGTGTGTTGGACTAACGTGATAACCAACTACACCACTATCTCAATTTGTTCAATCCAGATAGTTCTATCAGTAGAAAACAGTCTTTGTTCGCATCAAACCGCACATGTTGCGCCTACAAATTTTTCGATGGGCTGGTCACCAAATAGGCAATAACGTAGTCTAACCTGTGGCTTAACATTGGAAAATAGTTATCATACGACAGAGAGCCTAACACTTGAAACAATGCTGTGGACGTATCTGAAACAATGCTGTGGACGTATCTGAAGAAGTTTAATCTGCTTAGGTTACTACTTTTTCAATATTTGAGTTGTTATTTTGTTTATGATATGTTTTGGGAGAGTAGAGTATAGAGACTTTCTCATCAACAGCTTCCTATACAAATCTAGCGGGTACAAAACACGGCCAGATAAGAAAACAAAATTTTGGAAAATGAGAGTGATAAACATTAAAGAATGATGGATCTTGAACATAATTACTCCCACTCTTGCACACGTTGACAGAATGTATTAGTCTTAGTCCCGTGTATGAGTGCATGGATTTAAGAGAGGAACTGAAGAAGAGAAATACTAGCTAGTGAACAGAGAGTAATGAAGGGAAAATAAAAAATAAAAATATAAGCACGAAGGTCGTGATAGTGGAAAGTGGGTTTCACCAAGTGGAACGCAAAACACCAAGCACCTTTTTTAGTTTAGGAGCTTATTACTAGTATAGCTTTTTGCTCTTATCATATCGGCTAAGGCCATCAATTTCCTACATCAGATAGGAAGAAACAAAAAGGAAAACATTTCTCTCTGTTACGTTGCCTCTGCTCTACTTGATAGCTGGTATCTATAAAGATCCAATCAATCTATACAAGCTTTTTCCTATCTCATCCCAACTAATTGGCTATACTACCTAACGCTAGCTATATCTCACCAGCCATCCCTAAAGAAAATGGGATGGAGTAAAACAAAAGAATGTGACCGGAAAATTTTACAGATGACTCTAATCTGTACAGCAGAAGAAATTGGGAAACTAACAAGTTACAACTGTACAACCACTAATCTTCTATCCGTTGTATCTCACCCATCATGATGCGATTGCTTGTAACCTTGAACCCAAGAAGAGCAGGATCAATCTGCCTTCCTTTCTTTCCTTTCTTCTTACCACTACGGGCACATTGTGTTCCATCCGATGCCTCTGATGCATGTGCCTCCTGAGCTGCTGGCTTCTTTGCGTTACTCTTAAGCATGTCACTGAATGATGTCTCTGAAACATCAGCATCACCACAAGATGCAGTCCGTCGGAAGCGCACATCTTTCTTTCCAGATGTCACGGTGTCACGGACTTGATTTGCTGCATTACCTCCCGCTTCCCTCTTGCCCACTAGTAACAGAATTAAAATGAGGATGATAAGCAATTCGTGATAGATGGAATTTGTGCATAAGGGGATTGGGAATTTTACTGTTACAAGTGCCACAATGGGAATAGCAGAGATAAAAATAACTGGTACACTCCTCACATGCGTCTTCAAGGTGCAAAATAGAAATGAAACACAGTAAAATCAAGACAATCAGAAGACAGTTTGCAACAAAAAGGAGAAAGACAGCCTACTTTCAGAAGCCATGGCATCTGAAGGATTTTTGCTTCTCACAAGGGTATCAGAAGTTAGATCAGATAGACCCTCCTGTGTCGAAGAAACTCGTAAGACAGGTGGACGCTTCAGCAAGATATTATCCAGCCTTTTTGATGTCACAGTCATCCTACCAAATAAAAACAAAATACAGATGCATATCAGGAAAGCAATATCACAACATATTTTTACATATCAGGAAAGTGTTATCTATGGCATGATTTTTACACCATACACTGATAAATGAAAAAATTAACCTTTTAAGAAAGGGAAGGGAAAAAAAGCAACCGAAAACTTTTGTGAGAGCATGGCCGCGATCAGACAGATTTGGCTACACAGTTTTGGAGGGTGAAAATACTACTATAACAAAATAATTTCCACATTCTTATGACAGTTATACCTTTTATTTTAATAAGTTATGACAGTGATGCCTTTAAACATACAGAACTTGGAAGAAGTTTTTTGAACAATCAAATCGGTGCCCAAACATCACCTTTCCTAAGACTGAAACCTAGTAGTAGTGACAATGCTCATATTATCTGATTACGCCTTTAGTGAAGAGGCTCCATAACAGCACTTGATTATACATGCATGTACAACAAAGACAACAAACCCAGTATAATCCCACAGGTGGGGTCTAGGGAGGGTAGTGTGTAACTGTGTACGCAGAACTTACCACTACCTTGAGAAAGATTATACATGCATGTACCATTATAAATATCAGTAAAATGAAGATGGTGGGCAATAGAATGAAATTATCAGAACCAAAAATGTTCAGTACTGAAACAATAATTCAGTTTCTAAGCAAGCCAGCCTACTCTATAATAAGAGAACATTCTTTTTGTAATAGAATCTTGGCAATAAATCCTACTGCTTCAGGAATTACAACTAGCAGTTTCCTCTTCCAGAGCATTTTATACGAATAAAATTGTTGCAGCTGCTGAAGCACAAACTTTACTTCATTTTCCAAACTACCAACTATGCCCATCAGAATGACACCAATAATGATAAATCCTTTCCTTTCCATGAAGAAGCAGAAGATAGCACTTACCGTTCCTTCGGAATTTCCTCCGCAACCGAATCCCCTCTATCACTCTTGTCATTGTAGAAGTCAAGATTTCCACCTGAGATGATTTAAAAACATCAAAATCTTTCAAGCAATAAAATTTCTTTTGGATAAAGGGATATATGCACACACACAACGAGAGAGAGAGAAAGAGAGAGAGAGAGAGAGAGAGAGAGAGAGAGAGAGAGAGAGAGAGAGAGAGGGAGGGAGAGTAACCTCCAGTCCCAAGTGAACTGTGCCTGCTAAGCAAGTTAACTGGCATTTCCCCCTCTACAGTCATCACACCAGCTTGCCCACCGATACTTTCTCGAGCCTCAAGATACACCTGCAGATAACCATCTTGACATGTAAGAGCACATCTTCATTGCCACCACATATAAGATGCCTATAGGATCTTGTAAATTACCTGAGAGGCATCATTGATGCTGGAAAAGACAGGTTCAACTTCAGATAAAGCTCCAGAATGAGATTTGAAGGGCAATCTCTCACCAACATTAAGACTACTGGCAATCTCATCTACGTGATCTCTATGTGGTGGCAAACCTGAATTAGAACCATATGACCCAACACTAAAGGCTTGGTTTAGACTCGTATCCTGGTCCAAAAGAGGGTTGAACGAACAGTTTGAAGCATTTGTCCTGGAAAACTGACCAGAGTGAAAGCCCCTCTCAAACAAAACCCCCCTGGTCATTTCTGCTTTCTCAGTTGACTGCTGGCCAGATTTTTGCTGGAGCAGCTCCATAAGTAATCGCTTTGAACTGTCATCACTAGCACCAGCTGACATCCACATACTTTGATCTTCAGAAGCCCTTTTGACATCAAATTCCCTTCTTTGCATCTCACCATTAAGATGCAGTTGCTGCATCCGAGTTTCCATCCAATCAACTGGTAACTGACCATTTCTTTCAGGCCAATGATTTTCAATTGTATCTGCATTCGGAGCATGAAATTGATTGGAAAACAAAGGATGGTGAGGAGATTGCGCGTGGGTTCCAGTCGAGAACCCAGGCATATGACCAGCTGATTGCATTCTTGAATTTGGATCTTGCATTTCTAAACCTTGTGCATGCAATAGAGGATTTACAGCGTCCAAATTAACACCAGGACCACCACCAGGTACTGACATTGTACGTTCTAAAGGCAGTAATCCAGAGTCATAGAGACCCCGCTGAAATCTATCCTGCACTGACAAATTCCTTTCCAGATGACTGACATGCTCTTCAGGAAGGGGTATCTGTTGCTGTTGGTAAATATCTAATGGGCCAAATCCAGAGTTGGCTCGACGAGCAACAGCTGGATTTCGGAGAAACTGACCAGTTTCATCTACATGCCAGACAGAACCAATCTGTCTATCTTCCTCCATTTCCAAACGTTGCCTTAGCCTCTCATGCACTTGTTCCTGTTGAAGGATTTGATGCTCCACAGGGTGCATCTGTCCATGCTTTGCCCGAGATAGGAGCTCCATCAAATCATTTTGATGCCCTTGACGCGGTATTTGACCAAATTTTGCTTGAATGAGATGCTCAATAGATGGTTCAGCATGTCTTGGGGGAAGATGTGAACGCTGTTGCAGTTCACTCAGAATTTGCTGTTTAATCAACACCTGCTCCAGAGCACTGTTATGCCTAATAGAACCAAGACGTGATTGTGCACGACTTGAATCACATATTTGACTCTGCAATAATTGTTCAAGAAGCAGCTGTCTTGCATGGGACTGTTGCTCTTTCAGTAGCATTTGCTGTTGATGGAACTGTTGCTGTTGTTGCAGTTGTTGTTGTTGAAGCTGTAACTGTCTCTGCTGCTGCTGCTGCAGCTGAAGAGCCATAAAGTGTTCCAAGTCCTGCCCAGTCTGACTCGCCAACTGCGGTTGGTGTATTGAATTATAGTTTGCCCCTTGTTCCAGCATTGCTTCATTTAAATGACTATTATGAGAGGACATCAAACTATTAGGATGCTGTTGTTGAAGTTGTTGTGAGAACAGCTTATCTGCCAACTCAAACCGGTTCAGTTCGTGGTCCCTGTGCAACAAGTGGCTGGCATCTGTAGCATCTTGATATAAGTTGGGTTCTGATACAGCATTTCTTCTATAAGCATCAGCCCATGTCTCGACAGTAGAGGCTGGTTCCATCTTAGCACCAAATGGCGCAACCCTTGCAGCAACAGGGTTTAGAATCTGATCCTGACCACCTCCACTAAATGGAACATCTGAGATAGGACCACTCTTTCCTGAAGTGCCTTCAAGCTCTGACCATAATAAACCAAGTGGGTGCAGTGGCTCTTCCTGATTTGGAACTCGACCCCCAGTCATTGCATTTGGAATTGCACGATGCATATTTGAAGGATCAGTAGGTCCTGTTGAAGTTTTTCCAATAGGATTGCCACTGCTTCCAGGTCTTCCTGGAAACACAATTTCTGCAAATGGATTTCCATTAAGTAATGAATCAGATAGCAAAAGAACAAAAGAACAGATAAAGGTCACCTGCATTAAATATTAATGATCAAGATCTTGATGGCCTATTTGCAAGGAAAGAGGCTACGTTCTCTCCTCCAAAGCCACCAGAGGCCATGCATTGGCATAAAAATAAGGATCCAAAGTGAAAACGCTAACTAACCTTCGTCTTGAGCAACGAAATCATGAAACTCTTCATTTTGTAAATAAGGCGGTTTAAATTGACGAGCTGGATGATCAGGTACTGACTGATTACGATGTCCACCAAGGCCATTTTGGCCATCAAAATCAGATGCCGGCCAGCTCAAGCCATCCAGGGCAGCAGAACCAACCATCTCAGAAACAGAAGCTGAGCAATGTAAACCAGAGTCCAACTTCCCCTCTAGTACAGCAGATGGTTCTACCTGAGGAAGATTGATGTCACCAACATACTCATGTCCAAATTTCAAATGCGGCATTATGTCCCCCAGTTCAAAGAAAGGTGAATCTTCAGGGGCATCTTCCAACCGAACTGGCAAGTCAGTTCCAAAAAAACCCTGGTCAAACCATGAGATGATGTCAGCTCCAAGAAATGGCCCCTGGATTTCGCCTTGTGGATCACGATAATACAAACTCAACTCCTCAGGTGGGGTACCCCTTCCCAGAAGGTTGTTCCAGTAGATTTCTGAAGAGGACTTTGCAAATAGGGAATTTGAATCATCAGGAACCTTTGAACTGACATCAAAGGCAACATGTTGTTGGATGTTCTCAAAGACAGGGGCCATGGTTACTCCTGATTCTGGTAAGCTGACCTCAGAAGTATCAGATTTGGACCCACTAATGACTTTCAAGCAGTCATTATTGACAGTTCTCTTCCTGGTCAACAATCTTTCATCTGCAGTAATAGATTCAGAAACTTTCTCTTTCTGTCCTTCATGATTATCTCCACCTAAATTAAGATTCAGAAGTCAACAGGTAAAGCTATATTGATGAGAAGAGCGAATAATTAATTCCAAAATAAACAGAGGTAATACTTTACTCACCATCCAACCTGACCTTGACACCATTCTCATAAGAAAAGCTATAGGCATTGGCTTCTTCAACACCTTTTGATGTTTTCAGTAACCTATCAGCTGTCTCTTCAGTGACATCAGCAGAGGGAGCACCCTGCTTTGGATTGTTGGGCTCCGTATCCCCAGTTTCTGGGAAGTACAAAAACAATCAGAGAGAATCATGTGCTCCTACTCCAACAAAAAGATAATGGACAGGATAGCAGTAGCACTCAGTAGTGCATCCAAAGACAGTGTTTGAAAGACAGTTACCTGTGACATCATCTATTGATTGACCCTTTCTAGAAGGATTGTAAGAAACACCACTACCAGTAATTTTACCTTTCCATATGTCATTGAGGACAGCCTGTAAGAATGATCAAGTAAATTTATGGTATCAAATATTTCTTGAACACTAAACCGACAAGTTTGATTAAATGAAGTAACCGATTTAGCTCACCTCCTCCTCAGCATCAGGAACAACAAAAGCTAATGGTTCAATAGCAATTACTTGAGTAACTGGGGGTTCTTCTTCCATATTTTCAGGCATGCTACAAAGAGATGAGCCAAGCTTTTGCATGCGGTATATGTCAAGAGTTTTCCCCCTTGGATAACAAAATATGCCAGCTGAGATGCTTGGTTTTCCAGCAACAGAATTCTCAAATGGCGAAGCACCAATTGCACCCCCAGAGGAAGGTCTTACAATAGTCACAGTAGACCTCCCACGACCCAAGTTAAATCCCACATTTGACCCTTCTACTTTTCCTCTTTCCTGTCCAAAGCCTGGGGCAGCACGATAGGAACCTGTAGCAGCAGAGTTACCTTCCATTCTATGGCGTGGACGCCACTTATCACGAGAATCCGACTCCCGCTCCGAGACAGAACGGTTAGCGAGAAATGGTTGACCATCGTGATGAACATCTTCCTTATCTACATCTATCCTTTTCTCACTGCGATTTTCTTTTTCTTTGCCATCAGGACCCCACCTAGAAGACCACTTGCTATCACGTCTTGTATCAAGCCCAGAATTGCGGTTATTAACATCACGATCGGTTTTCTTTCGTTCTCTTCGACCAAGCAAGCTAGTTTCCCTCTCTTCCTCACGCCACCGGCGGCCACTCTCAGTCTCCACTGGCGTTCTTCTCCAATCCTTTTTGTCCTCAGGCATATCTGTACGCCAAGCCTCCTTTTGACTTGAATCAGCAGAACTTCCAAGTGACAAAGAGCTCGGTGGACGCATTTCCTATCGTGAATAGAACACGGGTAGAAAACACTTTACAAGAAAAACTTTAAGCAGTATAACAGAATAGGGCAAGTGTAACCTCTGGCACGTGAGATATTTGCATAGAAAAGACTGGAAATCCAAAAAATCTTACAAAAATCACAGGTGAATGAACACAACATGAAAGTAGCAGATGTAGGAAAATTTTCTTGAGTTCTCTTTAACACAGCAGCAGAAAATGGTAACTGCCACTTGAAGAATTTTATATGTACAAAAGTCTAGGAGGAAATAATGCCACAAGGTGACAGAATACAGCCAAAATTTATAGGAAATCTTTTTTCAGGTTGTTTCAAGCTAGCTTCTTTTTGTTCAGATAAATAAGGACAGCTTGGATCAACGGTGACAGATTCTAAATACTAAATATCAATTTTAAAGCTTGGATTTGTTATGAGACCACCACTAATGGACATTCAGGATGAAAGTATTTCCTCTGGGTGATGGGCATTAAAAACCATAAAAGATCACAAGGTCTAATTCAACAACAAAACACTTAATTCTCAAGGGTGCCCTGTAAACTTAGAAAGGAGAATTTCCAAATGGAACAAACTATTTTGTTTTTTTAATTTTGTTTCGGCTGATCAAGTACAATTCATATATATCATAGACAAAGCTAGTAAAAATGTATCAATCATGTCGAAGAAACATTTTTAAGGTTAAAAATTATTTTATATGCTCTATTGAGTTCAAGATCATGTTGTAACTCCAGGTGGGACTACTTTACATCCACATCTCGACTTGGTCTTACAAGAATCTGCGACTCCTCTCAAACTGCAAACCATCTCTCTAAGTATTCGAAATAATAATAGGTGAAAATGAAAATAAAATTCATTGTAATGAGATTTTTTTTTTTTTTTGAGAACTCATTCTATTAGAGTTAGTGCCACAAAAGCAGAGCTTAGGTTCCAAAAGTCCAAAAATAACTATGCAAAAGTTTCCATTGACTCAATCTGTACCTTCAAAAATAGTTTGTATCATGAAATTATCCATTGTATAGCAGAAATAGGGAAATCATTACTCTGCATGTAAGCTTGACACAGAAATGACCAAAAACTCACCATCTTTGTGTCACTTGGTTTAGCATAAAGCCACTGTGGAGACAAAGGAATGCTGCTGTCCACCATCGCTTGATCTAAAGTGATGTGAGAAGGTAAAAAAGAATCAGAGGAAGATCAATAGCACTCACGCAATCAGAATCAAGAATGAAAAATATTCTACCTTTGGAAATATCAAGCTGGACCATGAAAGGCTTGCTGTCATCGTTACCTGCAGATGTTTCTTAGCAACTGTAAAACACGATAAAATGGGACCGAATTCCTACTCCCAAAATAAAAAGCAAAGACTTTGCATGGATAATGAAAAACTACTAGCAGCTATTGGGCTGAATATACTAATATATAGAACATCCCAACACTAGAAGAACATGACACTTTAGTGAGAAATCAACAACTTCCTACAGATAAATAACACTCGTAAACTATTAATCTTAAAATGTTATGAGAAGCAAATCTAACAGCAATGCCTCTAGTCCAGTTAACATTAACCTAAAGGCTCAATCCTACACTGTATTTTGAGTGAAGAAATTGGCATCATTTTCTTCTCTTGACGGACTGATACATCTCACACACTCAAAGAAAGCAAATCGACACAACTAAATACAGAGAAAACAGCATTTTGCAACATAGCGCCTGATCTGAAGCCCTAGAATTCAAGTTGTATCTCAATTGAAGCAAGCATCGCACGAAGTTTAAAATTCATATACAAGATCAATAACCCCTAAATCAAGCATTAGACAATCATCCTTCGAATCCAATCGAAATTAAAATACAAAGTAAGAATAAACAAAATAAAGAGAACCTTTGGAGTGATCGGAAGGGTTAGAGGAAAGGAGATCGTCAGGGAGATCGAGCTTTCCTTCGGCCATGGCCTTTGTGTCAGAGAAGATTCAGAAAAGAAAGGATCGATTCGAGAGAAATGAAACGGAAGAGCTAGCAAGAGAGAGTGGAAATTGAAGAGTCAAATGAGAAACAAAGTGAATAGTGAATGCAGGGAGGGGATTTTAGGGTTCGGAGAGAACAGTGTTGCAGGGAGAGAGAAAGAGAGATGGACGAGTCGGGGATAGATGACGGAGAAGAAAAGGCTCGAGGGTTTGGGTGGTCACTAGACCCAAATCATCTTCAAACAAAAAAATAAAAAAGAAAAGGTACAAAGTGTATTTTAGATGTCCTTATTAGTCCATTCAAAAAATAATGACACATTTCTACAATTAGAAATTAGAAATAATAACTTTAAACTTTTTATTTTACTTATTTTATCAAGCTTTTATAACCACATAAATGGCATGGCCCCGCAAAACTTTTACCCCTTATGCTTTTACAATCATAAGTTTCAAAAGTCAAGTTTCGAATCCAATTTGGATATTAAAAGGATTACTAGATATAACACAAAATTTCTCCACCTATTCCTTCTAGTCGAGCCTCGCGGTCTATCATTATACCTCGAGAATTAGAAAGAATTACAATCCCCATTCCACCTAAAATTCGCGGAATTCATTGATAATTAGAATAGATTTGTAGACCAGGTCGACTGATTCGTTATAAATTTAAAATATTTCTATAGGGTCTTTTCCTATTCCTTCTATGTCGCATGATTAAAACCAAAAAATATTTGTTGTTTTCTCGATGTTTTCTCACGTTTTCGATAAAACCTTCTCGTAAACGTATTTGAATTTTATTTTTCGTTAAACTCCGTGTCGAGTCTAACTACCTCATCTAAATTGAAACAGAGGGAGTACTTGTTAAGAATTAAACTCAAAACAACAAATATAAAACAAGAAAATAGACAAGAGATGTAGAGAGAAAAGAGAGAACTTTCTTATTTCATCAAGTGTTTCCCAAGTGTATAGGCTACATAATCCCTGATACCTCTGTTTATAGGGTTTCATAGAAGCTTACAATAAGGTTACTTTAAACATGGTATTAACCATTGGGATCATCGGGGTGATCAAGGGGATGGCTATGGAGATGTGGGAGTTATAACCATAAGTGGTGGAGTAGTGGAAGTTATGGAGATAATGGAGAAGAGTAGTGGGTATTACTCTTTTAGGAGTTATAGACATCCACCATAATATAATATTTCATAACACTCCTGCTTGGATATCTATATATAATCTCCGAACCTAGGCCTTGACGTAACACGACACCGGTGCCTGACCACATATGACCGAGCGAACCAACTAGCTGCTTGAATCAATATGTGATATCATAACATATTGAATGCGTAAGATAAACTAACACATGGTGATATACTGAAAGTCTGAATGATATAAATCAAAGTGCGAAAACTCTAATGTAAGTCTGAAATATATATATAGCCAATATTGCTTAATATGAAAAGTATATGACTTTGTTTAACTGTGACTTTAGTCTATGAAGCCTCTAATGAAGTACTGAAAATACTGATTGTTTGTAAATACTAAAAGACTGTAAAGTAACGATAATGCCCCGAAAGAATTGGGGTTCACAAAATAGCTGGTACGAGAATCCTAGCGCTTTGAATTGTCAACCTGTAAATTATTACATGTATCATGAGATGCAGGCCCCGGGCAAAAGGGATGTCACTACATTTGAATTGCACTGGTATGTAAAGCAACTGAAAGAAAGAACTGTAAATGCTGAAATTGAAACTAAACTGATAACTTATATCTCATAACTAATATCGATAACTGATAACTGATAATTGAACTGATAACTTAACTGCACAAAGGAAGTGTCGCGACCCAAAATCCCTCCGAATGAGTCGTGATGGCACCTAGTCTCTAAACCGGGTAAGCCTAACATTAACAGAAATAATACGAATGTTCACTAACTTCAAATTATATAACTCTGGACACTTACAATTCCCAAAACCGGTGGTACAAGTCATAAGCCTTTCTAAGAGTAGTTATACAAATTAAATACGTCAATGATCCAAAATAAAAGGAATAAATGGGAATAAGTAGAAATAAAGGGGACTCCGAGGCCTGCGAACACAACAGCAGGTTTACCTTGAGTCTCACCGCGACAATCCACACAACTACTACCGATCAAATACCTGGACCTGTACAAAAAAAATATACAGAAGTGTAGTATGAGCACACCACAGCGGTGCCCGGTAAGTATCAAGACTAACCTCGGTGGGATAGTAACGAGGAACAATCAAGACACCTACTAGTCAAATAAATTGAACAGGATATGATAATGAACTACCAAGATAAATTTAACAAAGTAATATCAATAATTGGGAAAAATCCAACTGCAAATAGTAGAGACAATAAAGAGAAACACGGATAGTAGCGAACGATAATCAAGTAAATTAATACCAACATAACTGGGACACAGATAAGTAAGAGTATGTTCCAAGAAAGAAGGCGATGCCAGCTCAATCGATCACATTATTTCTAATACACAATCCCGACCATCTCAATCCTCGGTATCTCATGTCATAATATCAAGTTCCACACCTTTAGTACACATGGCACATTGTGCCCACATATCTCTATCTCACTTTGCGCAACATCATCCTCATGCTACTCAGTACATATGGTCCATAACCAATACAAATAAGGTGTTCAAGGAGTCTCGTTTATATAACATAAAGTGGATTAAAGCTTCCAAACCAATTAGGAAATCAACAAGAAAAGATGAAATTATTTTTAGAAATCATTTGAACAAAGAAAATACCCTTTTCAAAGAAAATACAAAATCGAATGAACTATTTATTTAATATAGGATTTAATAAATTAAAACTTAGGAGAAATTCCTTTTTAATTAAGATTCAATATCATTGGGTTAAGGAAATTTAATTGAGAAACTAATTGAAATAAAACATAACGTTTGTAGGAATTTGAATTATTGATAGGTGTATATATACATGGCGAGTTCAAATTTAAAAGTCATATATAGCCGAGTAATACTAATTCCTTCATTTTAAATTACAATATTACTAATAACTTAACAGGACAGGAGGAAATGATTCAACGTAGTAGATTTAATAGTTTCAGGGAAGGAATTCAAGGAACAACGGCAAGTCAACAACTCAATGCCAATAACCCGATCCTCACAACTCAGTGAAACCCGAAATACAAACTGTCAAAGTTTTAAACAAATGAACTAGGGTTTTATCAGTATTCAGCTATAACCAAATCCTAAATGAAATGTAAAACCACTTAATAACTTGTACAGTCAAAGAGGAATACATAAGCATATATATCCATTGATGCGGCGCGCATCCCGATCCTACCAATCCTCCTTATTCCTACGTAACAATTACAATAAAAGTAAATAATATATATTTATTGCGGCATGCAACCCGATCCCACCAATCCTCCCTTATTCCTCCTTAACAATTACAATAAGAGTAAGTAGTATATATATATATCACCTAACAACATGATCATTCACCCTTATTACTCCTTGTTGCGGCGTGCAACCCGATCCCAACAGTCCACCCATATTACTCCTATATATATATATATATATATATAGATATATATCACCCTTATTCCTCCTGTTGTGGTGTGCAATCCGATCCCACAAGACAACATCAATTCTCCCTTATTCCTCCTCAACATATCAACAAGCAAACATAGTTTAAAATCAACAACAACAACAATTCAACAACCCAATCACAAGGATTTCTACCACCAAGAGTATGAGTACACGGCAACAAGAGGACCACGGAAAAACCAAGAAGCACAACAACCCTTACAAAAACAACAAGACATATAAGGCACGTGATAACTACACCAGCAACCACAACAATTTTGACACATAGCATATAAGCACGGGGTCATAGAGGAATTTCACAATTAAGAATAACAAAACAATAAGGAGGATTATTACTCCAATTGAGGCAATTAAGGGCCAAATAACAAGTAAGAATTAGAGGAAAGTTAACAACATTGTATGGAGCATATAGAGGTAAAACAAGCAATTAGGAAACACAATCATATCGGAAAACTTTCCACTTAATGAACATAAGGACCTAAGAATCCTAAAGGCAAATTTTCCACAAATAAGTCTGAGCACACACTCGTCACCTCACGTGCACGGACTACAATTAGCATAGAAGACTCAAATCCTAAGGGGGAGTCCCCCACACAAGGTTAGGCAAGATACTTTCCTCAATCCGGCAAATTCAATACTCAATTTAGCTTTTTCCTTTACCAATTCATCAACGCTCGGCTCAATCTACCATAAAACAACTTGAATACATCAAACAATGCAAAAGAAAACAATTTCAATTAACAAAGCTATGATTCTTATACATTTTGCAAAAAGTCAACAAAAGTCAACTCCCTAGGCCCGCACCTCGGAACCCGACAAAATTTACAAAAATCGAACACCCATTCCGCTACGAGTTCACCCATACAAAAATTATCAAATTCCGATACCATTTGGTCCTTCAAATCATCATTTTACATTTTTGAAAGATTTCACAATTTTCCTCAAATTTTCCTTTAGATTCTCATGAATTTGATGTTAAATCTAAGATATAATCACAAAATATAGTTGGAAATTGATTAGAGGCACTTACCCAATAATTTGGTATGAAAATCTTCTCTCAAAATCGCCTCACCTCGGAGTTAGGGTTCAAAAATATGAAAAATGAGTAAAAACTCGAAATACCCAGCTTTTAGCAGGCTGCAGATGTCGCATTTGCGACACAGGGTTCGCAAATGTGAACTCGCAAAAGCGAAGAAACCTTCGCAAATGCGAGCCTGGAACAGTACTGTCTTCATCGCAAATGCGATAGGGAGTTCGCAAATGCGAACTCTGAAGGCTTCGCAAATGCGGTATATTCTTCGCAAATGCATCCTAGTCCCCAGCAGCCCAAGTTCGCAATTGTGATGACTACCTCGCAATTGCGGTAGTCGCAATTGCGACCAAAACCTCGCAAATGCGAGAAAACCAGAACCAGCACACATAAAGTTTAACAAAACAATCCGAAGCTAATCCAAAACTCACCTGAGCCCCTGAGGCTCCAAACCAAACACTCCTATAGGTCTGAACACATAACACGAACTCGCTCGTGCGATCGGAACATCAAAATAACCTCTAGAACCACGAATCGGATGCCAAAACGCATGAAAATCACTATGAACTTCAAGAACTTCTAGAATTGAAACCA